GAATATCCCAACAAAAACTTGTACCCCCACCATACTGAAGAACCAGTTTTGACTTTAATCTCGATCGACTTCACATCATGTCTACATAAATATTTCCATTGAAATGATTTTCTGGATTGTAATGCTCAGAAGAAATCATGTTTTCTTGATTCAGCACCTCATCAGTTTTGCTTCAATATACAAGGATCCTTCTATATACAGGGTGCCCGTTTTTCGAGCTCCACCATCGGGATCTCAGTTATTATAAGAGATACGAGGTCGGTTGAATTAGGACAAAGTTACGCATTTTCAAGCTGAACATTTATCTGCAAGAAAATTCGATGTGTCATTTTCAGCTTCCGAATTATTTGAAGGAAACGAAAATTCGAAATTTTTGTTTTTATTTTTTCTAGCGGAAATCAAAAGACCTAAATGTTTCTGACTAGGACATTCTCAGGGCATTTTTCCACAAGTAATCTGAATCTGTCATCGTACTTTCCATGACGTTCTTGATGTCAAAGTTACAACACTCAACTATGTTTTTTCTCTCGAGCGCCATATTGGATTTTTCCATTTTTGAACAGTCTGTTTTTCTGATTACAATGATGTATCACACAATATGATCGAATCTCTCCTGTTGATCAAAATTGGGAAAAACATTTTTGCGAAGAGTGTTTTGGAAGGAACGCCAACAATTTTTTTAACGAACTGAATTTTGACAGTTCAATTGAATATGCGAACAGAACTATTGAATTCTTAAAATGCAATAAGGGTTGCCGAGTGTCTGTCAGATAGGTTCTATTACATAAGAAGACGTGACATCTCGCGAGCAATTCAGAATCTGAGGAAACGCGTAGAACTGTGTTTAGAATAATGAATGAATATAGAATAGTGGAATATTCGAGCATCTTTTATAACTTTGTTTTGTTTTGTTTTGTTTTGCGAAGGATAAACTTCTAGTCCATTACGTCGTTCCTTATTCAAAACCATAGTTTTAAGTAGATGTGAGCTTGACGAAAATGTGAACGTTCCAGATCCAAATTCAAATAAACTGTCGAAAAACATGATAGTCTAAGACTCCTTTTTGTATTTCTCTTAATTAATTTTGGTTATTGTAAATGTATTTTCAAGGTTGAGTTTAAAAACAGCGTAAGCTGACACTCCGCCCTTTCACTTTGATCCCACTTCGACTCACAAAATTTATATGTAACCATTTATTGTTTCCTCATTGTGAATAAAGACGCTTCATTTTTATTATTATTATTATTCTTTCCAAAGCACTCTTCGCAAAAATAGTTTTGCTCCTAATTTTGATCAAGAGAAAAGATTCGATCATATCTTGTGATACATCATTGTAATCAGAAAATCTTTCGGTGAAAATGGCTGGATTTTTTTTATATGTTGTAGCTGTAGTCATTCTAAGTAAAAGACTCCATTGGCTCAACTCGATCGTATGACCAGATTCGGCGCTAGAGGGTGAAACATCATGAACTTTGTGTATTTTTGAGTCTTCGAAGCTTAATAAAGAATATTCATTAAAGATAGATATGTTTTAAGGTTACAGAAGGGATGCAGTAGCCTTTTTACAGGGTGGTTAACAATAAACTAATTTTCAGAAAATCCGAATGCCATCGTCTATATGAGGAAGCTGATTTATGAGTTCACCATTAGCGATCAATCAGAATGAACGTTGATCGAAGAAAAGAAAATGATAATCGTTGATACAGAGTGATCAGAATAACAGAAAATGCCAATATACTCATTTAGATGATTTAATCATGGCATAGTCCTGAATATGTCTTCTGATGCCATTGTCTGAATTCACACACACACACACATCCACAAATACACCTTATAACAAAAATCATAACAAAACATTGAATCATTTTGTCACAAAGTGGATTTTCATGCAAGATGGATCTTGGTGAAGAAGAGCCCTTGTATTTTTTGCATATGGCCATAACATGAAGTGAACATAGAGTAATGACGAATGTTCGTAAAACCATTGTATTACGTCGGAAAGAATTCAGACAATGACATCAGAAGACATATTCAGACTATGTCATGATTAAATCAACTAAATAGTATATTGGCAAGTTCTGTTATTCAGATCACTCTGTATCAATGATTATCATTTTCTATTCTTCGATCAACGTCTTATAATAACTGAGATCCATATGGTGGAGCTCGAAAAACGGACACCCTGTATATAAAACTAACTAAATCTATAAGATTCACCCTAACGAATAAATATACTTCATTTTCACGAAATTGATCATACATATTTACCAATACAGTTTTTAGTTTAAAGACTTATTTTTACCCTTCAATCAGATTGATGGCACCGATTGGAGCATAATAATACTGTGGTCTACTGACATTTACCTAAGACTAATTATGAATACATGGAAGAATCAAGGTTTCAGTGCAGAACAGTCGAAGCTCAGCCCTTGGTGTTCAAAGATCACATCTCAAGAAATATCACCTTGCTTGAATAATTGTGGGAAATTTTGATTTTGAGTCTTTGCATTAGGACCGAGTTGCCAAGGTTATAGAAAAGTTTCTCAGTCAGTACCAGATCAATAAAAACTAGGTCCACGAAATCATATGTCTCATTTTTTATTAGAAACTAGTTTTAAACGATATCTTAGAGAAAGGAAAGAATTATTCAAATAAGTTATAGTATTTCGATTTGTGAATATGTTTTATGAGAAAACATGGAGAAATTATGAATTATGAAAGTTGGACCTCACAAACTATATCTGCACTCGAAGAATGGATACTACTTACAGTCAGTTAAGAGTCAATATATGGTCTTAGTTTCCAGGAAATTGTAATGACTGAATATAGCGTAGCATAACCAGGAGTATTTTAGATATCTAATATAACAAAAATGTTGTGTCGACCCCAAACTATCTACTTTGTGAACTATCCACAACGGTGGAAAATGGTTGGAAATAGTCGTATTTTACTATATATATTCCGTTTTAAAAGATGAAACTTCCCGAATTAAGTGTTTGCCAAAATTGTAACTTGTGAGTCAGCATAATGACCTGTATTATGTATATTGGTCAGAATTTTGACTTGTATGTCAAACTATTTTTTTGTATGTCAGAATCATGACTTGTATGTGAGTAGAATGACTGTTGTATGTCATAAATTCATGGTTGAACGTAAAAATCATTACTTGGATTACAAAAACATGACTTGAATGTGAAGACCATGACTTGTATGTCAGAATCAAAACTTCTATATCCGAATTACGACTCTAATGTATGTCACCATTGCGAACTTTTAAGTCACAATAATGACTTATTCGGCATGGTATAACTTCTTTGTCACAATAATGACTATGTATGTCAGAATTGAGACTTTTGTGTCAAAACCTCGAGATGTCTGTCGGATTTGGAGCTTGTATGTCAGAATTCTGGCATTTGTATGTCAAAATTGAGAATTTTAGTTCAGAATCACAAATTGCGTGTGTCAGAATTATCGCTCGTATATCAGCTAGAATTCTGATTCATATTCAATTTTATAATTAATTGTGACTTGTAGGTCAAAATAGGGATGCGAATCTCAGACTTATGACCTGTTTATGCTAGAATAATGAATTGTATGTCAAAATTGTGACTCGAATGTCATAAAAATCACTTGTATGAGATGGCATATTCATAACTATCATGAATTGATGCTATTGTGTCCGAACTTTGACATTTGTTTTTTTTATCTCTAGTGTCAGATTTGTTCTTCAGAATTCTGGCATGTATATATCAAACTTGTGATATTTCTGTTGAGAATCACAACTTACAATGGCGTGTATATCAGAATTTTGATTTATATTTTGGAATTGTGACTTGTAGGGAATCGTATTTCAGACTCATGACTTTTTCATGCTAGAATCATGGATTGTATGTCAGAATAATTACTTGTATGTAAGAATTTCGTCTTTAATGTCAGAATTTTGACTTGCATATCAAGAATCCTGATTTGCTGCATGTCAGAATCATGACTTGTATGTGAGAGGTACTTAGAAAGGTATGACTTCTCTATGTCAGAATCATGGAGTCAAATATCAGAGCTATGACTTATCTGTCAAAATCGTGACTCGAATGTTTATGACGGGCTAGAATTCCAAATCGACATTATTTGGCTTTCCGGAATACGGACCCTGGCCTACACTGACTTTACTTGTGTATGCCAGAATCATGAATTGTATCTCAGAATTGTTACTTGTATGATAGAATAATGACTAATGCCTTGTATGTAGGAGTTTAGTGTTACAGGTCAGAATGTTGTCCTGTATGTCAAAAATCGTTACTTTTATGTCAGAAGCATGACTTGTATGTAACTAAGACTTCTGTAGTTCAGAATCATGGACTTTATATAATGTCAGAATAGTGACTTGTATGTCAAAATCATGACTTGATGTAAGAAATATGACTTTCTATATCAAAATCGTGACTCAAAAGTCAGCATCCTGACTAATTTTGGCTGTTCGATATACAGACCCTTCACTGACTGTCGGTACGGACTCATCCGATCCACTCCGCTTACGATATAACGCAGCTGTTGTGGTGCCTATCACTGATCTACTGCAAGTCAAAATCGGAAACCATATTACAGACTTATTACTTGTGTTTGCCAGAATCATGAATTGTATGTCAGAATTGTTACTTCTATGATAGAATAATGACTTGTGTGTACGAAATTTGTGTTACAGGTCAAAATTTTAACCTGTATGTAAAAAATCACGACTTGTATCGAATCATGACTTGTATGACAAAAATAATGACTTGTATGTCAGAATCATGACTCGTATGTGGGAACTATGATTTCAATAGTTCAGAATCATGGACTTGAATGTCGAAATAGGGACTTGTATGTCAAAATCATCACTTGAACATAAGAAATATGACTTTTTATGTCAGAGTTGTGACTCAAATGTCAGAATCTTGAATTTTTTGGCTTTTCGATATACAGACCCTTAACTGACTCTTTGTGACGAATTATCCGTCCTCCGCTTACGAGATGACGCAGCTGTTCCTTTTGCCGTGCCTATCCCGGATCTGCTGCAGGTGCTGCAGCTGCACGGCCGACGGTATCATGGCGGCGTGCGTGGGAGTCTGCGGGGCGGCGGACTGTGGCGGCGGCAGCGACTGGCGACGGCGCCGGCGCAGAGCCGGACTCAGGTTGTACTTGACCTTGGCCTGCGCGAGCAGCTCCTTAAACACCTTGGTGACGTTGACGTTGTCCTTGGCGGAGGCCTCGACGAAGCCGTTCTCCCAATCGACGGTGACAACGGATTCGGTGGTCGCTGTGTCTATCTGGGGATGGTTATATGGGGTTTAGTTTATAGCAAGAATTCGATTTGTTTATGTTCTGGTTCCCACGAAAAGGGATATCCTGTAATATTCAGAGAACATCGTGAGAACCAAGGGAAATAAGGTAGAAATTGGTGTTCTTCTTGGATTTCTGGAGGTTATATGCCTCGGGGAACACCTCCCAAGGCATTGTGTTCCAGAGCCTCGCTGTTCGTTGGATGAGCGAGTCTTTGGAAAAAGATGTTCTGCAGGTCTCCAAAGTGACCACGAAGGGGAGCGAAGCCTCAACTCGTCGGGTTAATCTCGCGGGGACTGCCATGGGAGGAACAATTCTTGATATTTCATAAGAGCATCGTCCATGAAGATATCTATAAAATAGAGCCAGATCGCCAACTTTTTCACGGTGTTCCAGAGAAGTGAGTGGGTTTGTGAGCGAGGCATCACCCACGTGACGAATTGCCCTTTTTGGGACATAATCCAACAGCTTCAGGGTATGTTCGGGTGCTGCACTCCAAATATGGGAACAGTATTCCAGGACAGGTCGGATCTGTGCCTTATAGATCATAAGCAGCTGACTGGAAGTGAAATAGCTCCTGGCCCAAAACAGAAAACCAAGTTTCTGGAATTCACTTTTAGCAATCGATCTCACGTGATTTCCCCAAGAAAGTTTATTGCTGATAGTGATCCCAAGCATCGAAATGGATGTCTTCAAAGGTATGGTTACTCCTAACAAGCTTATATGTTGGGCACAGTGAGATCGGCTTTTCTAGAGAAAAGGCATGCTTGTTTTTTGTTTGCATCGAAATCTACCAAGTTATTGCCAAGTCCACATTTATGTTGTCAACATTTTTCCCTCGTCCGTTTCTGATTTGCCTGGCTGGAATTGGAGCCCTGGAAGAGAAGGCGGTATGGAGGGTACTATCATCCGCGAAGCTGTGTACTGGACATGAAGTTGCTTCCAACAAGTCGTTGATATGGAGTAGAAATAGTGTTGGTGTTAGAATTGATCCTTGCGGAACACCAGCACTTATTATGAGAGAGTCAGATGAGACTCCGTCGACCACTACAAGGAGATACCTGTTTGAGAGAAAACTAGCTAGCAGAGAACATAGCTGGGGAGGTAAGCCATAAGATGGAAGCTTGGCGAGGAGTCAGGAGTCCCATATTTTTCAATAGATTGCTGGCATATATGTGAGACGTAAGCGAGCAGGTCACGAGTTGATCTCTGATGACGGAAGCCATATTGCCTATCGTTGATAATACCAGAATGCTTGAACTGTTTTCCAATATTTTGTTGTGTTGAAACATGTGTCGTAAACTGGCTCCGTTATTGAAATACAGGATGTTGAAGTTGGAAGTATTAATTGTTTTTATTTATAGGATGAAGACTGAGAAAGTCTCAAAATGATTCTAATTGGTTATTGATTAATCTCAATGGAAGTCTTGAAAACATCTACATTGAAATTTGGAGTGATATGGAATTTTTTTTGTTTCGTCAAAAACTAAGTTAGATACAAAAATCACACAGGGGATAAAAGAATTGTTATTTCAATAGTTCGATCTGATAAAAATATGAAACTCAGAAAAACCGGTGGCGTACAATGACATTCACCATGAATATCGATAAATTTACCCACCCTGACGCCACTGGAAATATTATTTCGAATCTAATTATTGCACTAGAAGAAGCTCCATATTACTATTAAAAAAACAACAACGTTTTATTGAGATTGAAGAAAAGACAATTGATAAATGAATAGAAAAAAGATTTTTCATCGAAATATTAATACCCTGTATCTCGAAAACGAAGCAAGTTAGGGATACATGTTTATATGAACTGTATTGCCTAAAATACCACAAGGAATCACCCCTCGAATTTTTTCGGTGTTATTTATATACACCCTGTATAAGCATGATCCAAAATATGAAATGCAATTCCAATGGAAGTCAATGCTTTGGTTACGCCATTGCACTAATAACTCACGGTTGATTTACGGGTCCATTACTTCAAGAAAATAACCAATGGTTGCTAGTGAATTTTCCTGAGCAATATATTTTTACAATGATTATTCCAACTAAAGTGCGACTACTATTCTCAGGTCGTCTAATTAAATTCCGTTGAAACGATCTTGCCGAGCGAATGAACTTCGTAAATTGAATCATGAAAATAAATTGCTTTCCGTGCGTTTATGCTGTTTCCACCTAGATGCGTACAAAGTAAATGAGATTATGATACAGCATCTAGCGACGAACCATCAAAACGATGATTTCGGAATTTCAGGATTTAGGTAGACCTTGTTACTGATATTTCTGGCTAACCTTCTACTCAGTATATGAAATTAACACCGGTGTAAATTAGAAATATAGGGTCTGCACTTTCCAATATGCGAATCCTGTACCAAACCCGAGGTTTTTGCCAGTCATAATTAATGAAACGTAATGGGAATGGTTATATGAAAATTCCACACCAGTGATTTTTATGTAGAACTAGGATTATCGCTCAAATAAGGACATGCAGTAATTTGTCCTCCAGAATGACCTTCAATCGAATAGTGTATAAAATAAAAACTGAATATAAATTTATAGACTGTTGGCCCGCGACACAGGGTTTATCGATGTCATGATAATCTCAACACGATAGTGAAATAAAATATATAGTGTTCCAGTAAAAAAAATCAATAACTGCCCCATAGATCATTTGTTATGAACAGCCTGTGAATTTTTTAATGAATTAATCTCTCAGGAAAATCATTTTAATTGGTTTTTGAAATTTTAAAATTTGTTCAGAAACAACTAAGTTACAATGGCAGATATTTATGGTGAAGAACCCTTTACCGAATGTGCAAATTGTATGCAAACCATCATCTCATATATACTGTGTGGTCCACTAACCATGGTAAAAATTTGAACATTTCTTCGATTATCGATTATTTGAAGGATATCCAGTCAACAGTCAATTGATGTTCGAATAAGTCGAGCTCCCCTCTCCGGAATCGTATGCAAATTTCGGGAAACTGATTAATGGGTCCGAATTCATTGTTTCGCCAAAGGGCATACATTCTTAGACCATCGACTATAACACTGAAAAATTGTCACTTCTGGTTCGTATGCCGCTCTTGGGGAGTGACCTAGGCGTATGCAAACCGGCAAGCGCCCCAATTGTCGTGAGATAAGATCATTGCACTTCATTGCCGAGCTAAATTTTGAACTTTTTTCCAACCGAAAGGTGGGGTCAGGGCCGGAGCAAGGACTGGGTTGCGACTCTCCGAGGCACTCCTTCCTATATTAACTTGGACTAAGTGAGTGGGTCCCTCAAACGGCATACCGACTTAGAACATCGATAAACCCTGTGTCGCGGGCCAACAGTCTATTACTGTTTGCAATCTCCACAGACCGGAATCTTTGGAACACATTCTCTTCGAATGTCCAGTTTATGCTGGTATGAGGGATTGTCCATTATTTCAAGACATTGAATCTCTTGATGATTTGATATATCTTCTGAATTATGGTGGCCTAACTGACTTGAAACTTCTACAAGTTCTAATCAATTTGTTGAAGCTTAGATATTTTGTTGTGAGCACATAATATTTGCGAAAATTAGCATTGAAGCTTCACTACACTTGACTCCACAAATAGATGGGTCACGAAAAAAAAAGTGGACTTCCCTTCAAAATCGCGAAAAACTTTCGTGGCATCACCGCTAATCAATGGCTATCATACCAACCATTTGAGCAAAAATCTCTATGATGCAACACAAATGGAATGGAATATTGTTCATGGTTAAATTCTAAAGTTAATTTTATCATGAAATATTGTTCAGAGGAAGAAACATCGATAAATTATTGTCACTAGCATAACCACTGAACTCTTTTCATCACCGGAAATCAAGCAACAGCATAATATTCAAGTCTACAATAGCCTCTTTATATTTGACTGTGTGGGTAACACCGGAGCTACTCCAGAGCATGAAAGAGCATGAAAAATAGGCAGAAACGCGTTCTTTTTGTTTAGTGCTTGAAGCATCTGTTCTTCACCATCTGCCTTCCCCATACCATCCAGTGACTCTACCTTCCCCTACCCCTGTGCCACTGTCAAATGACATGCTCGTCTCCAAAATCAGACATTATCAACATAGATTGGCTATATTACAATATTTCCAGAAGGTAAACAATAAGAGCACATGCGCAGTGGCGTTCATTGAGAAACTTCACTAAAATGAGTTCTTTTGGGAGTAGCTCGAGTGCAGCAAACACTAAGGTGAATGAAAGATGAAAAAGAAAATGCCTATATTAGGTACTGCAACATCTACTGATATTCTAAAGGAGGGGTTTACCCTCTGAAAAAGGTCAAACACGAGGTCACGAAACACATGTGTCGGTATATCAAACAAAAGGGGCGGAGTGTCTCATCTGTAAGGTTTGTTAATCTGTGGTCAAACTAAATCTAAGGTGTAAAGGGGGAAGTAAAAATCCTGTCCGAAGGAGGCGGGGCCCGATAACGAAGGAAGTCGTCTAGTGTCTCACTCCAACTCATTTTAGCGTAAAATATTTCAACATTTATAGTAAAAGCGGCCTTGAGTGTTACCCCTTGAGGCTTCTGCGGTTTTCTGAATTCTCCGAATAAGTCTCACAGACACAGCTTACAAGTTGTGCTTTAGGCAATATACATCAGTATTCCGTAAAAATATGCATAGGCCGAAATAGAATATGAGTATGGAATAATAAAATTAAAATTGTTTTCAACATTATGATGAATATTTCGTATGATAATAATATTAGGCTGGATACTTACTAGTATAGGTGCATACCCAGTGTTCATTCGAAAATTTTCCAACCGCCATGAGTAGAGTAGAGTATAGTAGTTTATTTGACCATGTTATGTAAATTACATATACGGCAAGTCATAATTACAATGGCCATAGTGCTTGAAAATAAAGATAATCTTCACCCTCAATCACTAAAGTGCAGAAATAGATGAATTATATTACAAGAATACATGCTTAA